AAAATCCAAGAGGCAATCTACCCAATCTTACCATTTTTTCTTATCAATGCTCAGTTTTCCTCCTCTTACTCCACTCAATGCAGCTCCATAGATCTATAAGTACATTCATAATGGAATATTCGACAGGTCTCGCAAGCTAGAGCGATTCTCCAAGTGATACATTAAAGTGTTCAGCCTTTTGAATATACCAGCTTGTCAGAGGCCATTTGAACTTGCCTGGTGATTTGAATGCAATTGCAAAATAATTTTATTTTTTTCCTATCTTTATATAGCTTATTAGATTCCACTTGCCTATAAAGTTTCTATTCTATTTTAGAGCAAGCAGATGTGTGTGTATAATATGTATTACAATGCATATGTGCATGCACACTTGAACACTTTGATGTTTTAAAATATATTTATAAGCTGCCTACAGGAATATGGAATTATTTAATGTAAGAGCTATGATTCATAAACTTAAACAAATGAAGCTGGACAAAAAAAATAAACACAAGCCTTGAGATCTATCTTGTTCTTGGTTGAATCATCCTAAATATTATTTGTCACAAACAATATGCAATATTAAGCAGAATAATATACATAAGCAGGAACTATTAAGATAATCAACTTTTTGACTGGAAAGCATCCAAAATACTTAAAAGTAAATTTGATCAATTATTTTTTTGATAAGGGAAGGTCTTACAATTTTGTTAAGCAAAGATTCATTTGAGTCAAGTTTTGTAACCTGTTACTAAGCTCAAATAAGTAAAGAAAGTCCTAAAGCAACTGGTGTATTTCAACATAAAGATACGTATATTATTCAGCATAATGTTATTTAGTAAAAATATTAATCTTCCTCAAAGGAAGAATATTTTTTTGATAATTCCCAATGTTCAAAGAGCTTGTGTTAACTAATGAATGTTTCTAATAATGTTTCTAGAAAGTAAATATGTATGTATATATCTACTTTTCTATCTACTTACCTACCAACCTACCTATCCATCTAGCAAATAAATTAATTGGCTATCATCTTGCCCAGCATAGTAATTTGTAGGAAGGAGTCAAAAGGAATAGTGCAGTTATAATCATATAAACAGCTCTTGGAACAATAGAGCATCCCTAAAGAGCAGCAGTCATCAATGCACACTTTCATTATTAAATTGCTCACCGATGACATAAATGACAATGAAAATATGCAATCACTATTACTGATTACACATTGTTCCCCTTGTACACCATGCTTGAATACTTTACCTCCACAGTGACATATCATCATATGGCTTCTATATATATATATGGAGGTTCAATTCTGTAAAATATCAAGTATCCCCTAAAGACATTTTAGTGGTTTCATCATCCACCCCCAAAAATCAAAGAAGAAAATAGAATTCCCAGGATACTAAACTACTTATAGTAACTGAAAGGAAGCCATAATAGCAGCAACAATCACAGTAAACAAACAAGTAAAGCAAAACAAAGGGAGTAGAAAGAATCTGTTTTAATGCCATGATTCTGATGCTGCCTTAAATATATTGCTATTATATATGACTATATAAAATGGACACAAAAGAAATACTTGCGAAATCAAGTTACATTTTTTCAAAGAAATAAGATGCATCTATTATGAGTACTGTTCAGAAATAAAAATAATCAAGACAAACAAAATTTGAAACTATATGACTATAGCTAACAATCCTTCAGTCCCTAAATACAATCTCAAATGTTCAAAACAACTGATAATTCACCTTACCTCATATTTTAATATATATAGCTGAAAAGTTCTTCAATGGTTGACAATTTGATTTGTTTAACAACATCCTAATGCTTTGGATCCTGTTGCCAAAGCATACCATATATATATAAATTGGTGCAACACAGACTTATGTTTCATCATATGTATTATGTTTTTCTATAACTAGGGTCAATGCGAGCTCCACCTTTATTGCAAAGTGCTTTCAGGAGCTCATATGCACATTAGCGTTAGTTGATATTTCACCATTGATTTCACCCTAAAATAAAATGTTAAATAATGGTCATGCAAATATTCTCTTATTGGCAAAAAATTTACAATAGTTTATTCTCCCTTTTCTCCTGCCAGTAGCACAATTATTCAAATGGATCATATCTTCTAACTATTGCCAAGGGATCATTTCTAACTAAACGCCCATGGTTGAATTATAAAGATTAAAGATAGTGAAGGCTTAATTTTTAAAAATGAAAATTGGCTGATTTCTTTAATTCAACGTCTTAATGAGAGTCACTACAATTATTATTGCCAGATAAATATACCTAGTTTATCTTCAATTTGATTTTCATCATATGGAAAAAATAATTTAAATATTTAACTGAATTTTAATTAAATCAGTAAATTACTGGGAGAGATCAAAGGAAAAAGTTGTATGTGGAATATTTATTCTACACAGAACAGTAAGTACATTTCAGAGGTAAATGTTTCTTAGATCAATAAGGGTAATTCTTGATAAACTTAGGATCAGCCAGTAAAAACTTACTAGTAAGAAATCAGGTTTTTTTTTTAAAGGATTGCTTCTATGCTATTCTCCTGCTATTCGAAGACTAATAAGCTTTTCCCTCTTAACACCCCCAGGCAAAATTAGAAAATGAGTACCCATACCAATACTTTCTTTATATGATAGAAACCCTATTATACAAGCACCAGCTTTCCGTGTTCTTTGTAACACTGTTAAGTCACTCTTCTAGCCCCAGGTCAACTCTGCCACACTAAACAGCACACCCATTAATCCAAACTTCCAATTATGAAAATCTTTTGAATGATCTCCCTGTGGCTATTTGAACACATGAAGTTGTACTGTACTTGTTTTGATGAGGTGAGAGAAGGGGAAATTTCTATTCTCTCAATATTTTCACAGATTCTTTGTGAAAGTGAGCAAAACAATCACATTAATGTATAAGAAAGGATTATTGTTCACTAGAATCCACAATATGGAACTTTGGCACTTATTATACCTGGGAGCAAAAAAACAGAGGAGTTATTAAATTACTATGTGGTAAAGACAAAATAGACATTAAAGTTTTATAACACTATTTGGTTAGAGTTTTATATATGATGAATTCAAAAACCAGAATTAGGTTGCTTCCCAAAGATGAGAATCAAGTCCTTTTCCGAATACAGTTTTAAATTCCAACTGTCAAATCAATTCCCTTATCACAATTGTTCTAACAATTAATGGCTATGGTACTACACTGATGATATTAGGAAAACTCAAGATCATAATTAAAATTTATTAGATCTAGGCTGCACTTCCTATTCTCATTTACCTCTAATTAAACCCTGTTGAATCTAGTGAGACTTACCTTTGAGCGGACACAATTAGGACTATAGTATTAAAACACTTTTTTTTTAAAAAAAAGAAAAATATATGGAATTATATTTTGGTTTAGCAATTTTAAAAAGAATAAATGAAAATATAAGAATTAAAGCTTAAATTTCATTTAGCATCTGGAATATAGATTCCTATTAAACAATACAAACTCATTATAAAATCAATATCAACTTAACCAGTGTGCCCAAGAGAAATAGCAAAAAGGTCATTCCCAGAAACTCAAACAATTTTCCTGCTGGAAGAGAAAGATTTTAATTACAGATATTATTAACCAGAACTGTTGTTATTCTGTTATTCCTTTATCACAAATAAGTATAATTACTTTCAAATTACTAATTTTATCAGCATTACTAAAAAGATTTTATATTGATTTAAATATATCTTAAAAATATCTAAAAAGTTTTCACCAAATGAATTGTACATTTAATTGTTTATTATTATTTATATGTAGTTTCAGTATTAGTTTCAGTTCATATAGCTTCATTTAAAAAAAAATTCTTTTCCTTGTCTTCTCCCTTCATACGATTTTCTCTGAACATTATATTTCTATTTTTCTTTCTATACTTTGAATTAAAGTTAAGGGCTCTTTCTCTGAAACAGTAATAATTGGCACTTATTTGGATATATTACTATTACTGAAAATGTCATTGGATAATAAACTTGTACTAACATAGTACAAGTTTAAAATATGAATTAAGAAAGAGAGAAATTAGAGGGAGAAAGAGGGATATTTAAAGATTTTTTAAATTTATGCTCTTATATAATGGAATATGGAAGTTTGTACATTTTTCAGACAACACAATATAAAAAATAAATATATGTAATGGAAGTCTTAAACAAAAAGTTTTTAAAATATTTCATTATCTGAATGCACAATTCCCTGTTTAAGGATGTGTTTCAGCATTTAAATATCAAAGAAGTTTCATAGCCATTGCTGAATAACTATATGATTTATTTAATTATATAGCAATGCAGGTAAAAGATATGGACTGCCTATTATAAACAGTTTCAGTTCTCAGAAAGTTTTTGAAACATTAAAGTTTTATCCTAAATTGTTTATAATTTACTGCAGAAGATTTATCTATTTTCATGCTTTCAACCTATTAAGTGCCACTGTTCCCAGAATAAAATAGTCTTGTTTTTAACTTTTCTAGCTTCTATAAATGTATCAACATTATATTCCATAATATAATATAATGGAAAAACTGACAACTCTACAGGTCAAAGTTTATTTTCATATCAGACCTTCAAGAATTCAATGATTCAAAAAGAAAAAAGAGATAACTTTCAAATAAGTGCATTATCCATGCCTAATAAATCATAAAGATTGTTTTAATATTTACTATGCAATGACAAATTTTACATATTAATCTTATTTTTTCCAGAGGCATTTCAACTGCATCTTTTAATGTTTCTGCTTAAAGACACATTTACAGCAAGCTACAAAAATAGACAAGATTAATAACCAGCAATAAAAAGCTGTTACATCTATCGGGGAATATTAATGGAAGAACTCCCAATATGGTATTGTTTAAAGAAAAATATTTACCTCAGCTATAAATAAATAAAAGCAACATTCCCTCACTTGCGGGATAATAAATAACATTTAAGTATCCAACAAAAACAAAGAACTGATAGAGTGGAGAAAGTCACTTTTACCTGATAAGTGGCAGTAGCATCCGAGCTGGGATCAGAGCCTAGGCTTGTCAACTTCTCTTTTAGTTTGTGATGAGAGCCATGGCGGAGGCAGTAGATCACTCCAGAAGTCATAAGGACCCCCAAAATGCAAGCAATGGAGAGGAGTGTCAGTATGATAAATTTGGTGGTATCTTTCTCTTCCTGAGCCTGGTGAAGCAAAAGTTCCAGCTTGTTTTTCTACATCAATATAAAACAAAAACAAAAAAAGGGGGATGACATGCTTTAGAATTTATTTATTCATTGTCCACTTGAACATTTTTTAATCCTGCTAGAGAGAGAATTCTTAACTGAATATAGCTACTACTTTTTATTAAATAGATAAAATTTTAGTGTTTGCAATTATTTTTGTTGAAACAGATCTCAATTTTTCGGAATTGATTTTGATAAGATCCTTCCATACATTCCATATTTATATATATACATACATATACACATCCATAAACACATACACACATGCAAGTGAGCTGAGTAAGATTTGTTTTCTACTTATATATTTTGAAAAACCACTAAATGGAAGCATTCTAAATGAAGTTTGGAGAGACTGCAAATCCTACAGTACAAAAGCAAAATAAAATGCACTAAAAGGAATGTAAACAGAGTCAAATTAATTGCCCCAAATAATAACCTTTTGTTCCTTTTAAGTTAAAAAGATAACATCATTTTGATAACACTCACTGCATTGTTAATGCCTTTTTTAAATTCAGCTGTTGGATTGTGCAAAATTAGTTTTAGAAAATAAATATTCCAACAATAAGCTTAATTTTTAGTCAGCGTTCCTTTTTATACAAGTGGGAAGTGGATTTCTTTTGTTTCATTCATCACCCCGAATATATGTTTAAATAATTTCTGCAAAAAATTCTATTTATTTTTATTTATGGAGAAGAATTTTCACGTGGGAAAGCAAAATCCATCTTTTTCTTTTCCGCCTTATTGTTCACAGAATCAAATAAAGTTTAGGCTTTTTTTCTAAGGAGGAGGAGGAGAGGGAAAGGGAAACGTTTCAAACTTAATTCAATGTTGCCTTTTAAATTATGCGCGTGTGTCTATGTTCGCGCGTAGCAACAAAAAAGGGAAGAAATATAAGCGATGCATACTTTGTGCTCCACTCGCATAAAAGTTGTCCAATAATTTCCCCTCATTAGCTTCATTATAAGCTATATTAGCAACAATTAAAATCGCAACCTGGCTATGAAAAGCCAGACACGGAAGATTGCAGACGCGCTCATTTGGCCAGCGCTTCACATTTACCAGGGAAATGAATGGAAAAGCCCGCCCCTGCTTCAACTCCGGCCGCTACAAGATGCGAACAATTAGCCAAGTCCTCTTCACCGCCTCATTTCGTGGACTAACCACACGGATCTTTCCCCCCTCATTGCCAGGCCCGGCCTATTCATTATCACGCCTATCTTCAGTAATTTTCTGCTCTGCATTCAGCTAGCCTCCATTTAATTTTCTCCCGGAGAGCAACGTCCACAAGCAGTACTTGTGTTAAGCTCCGAACGGGCTTTTTTTCCCCCTTTCTTTCTTTGCTTGCTTTCTCTTTCTCTCTTTTATTTCCTTCTTTTTTTCTCCTGCCTCTATCTTAGGGAAGCCGCCGAAGGAATTAGAACCGCATCTTGGCGGGCTTGCCATTAATTAGCTGTCTTGCTTAGCCGTAGTTCTCCGGTTTCGCGAGTGACACCGGCTTAAAATAAAAGAAGGGAGAGGCAGGTCCGACAGACTCTTCCGCTCCTTGTTGCGAAGAGTGAGGCGAGGGGGCAACACTAGAGGCCAGAGGCGCGCACCCTCGCCTGTTTCTCAGGGAGGGGCGGCCGTCGCCAGCTGCTCGCTTCACTTTCGCTGTCAAGCTGAATGAAGCCGAAGCTAACTCCTCTCCTGCCTCTGCTCCAAAGCGCTGGGGCAACCGGGAAGGACTTGCGTGCGCTCCCTCCTCCTCCCCCCCCCCACCAGCGGGAGGAGTCTCTTTCCAAATCTCCACCTGTCTCGTCCCTTTCTCCAGGCGCGGAGTGGGATAACGACCCCCTGGGTCGCCAGACCAGAGACGCCTCTCAAGAACAGGCGCGGGCTACTCGCCCGCGTCGGCCGGGTCTCCTTCGGACCACTTTCATCCCGACGCCGAACTCCCTTTCGGTCGTGATTGCCGGGAAGGGAGAGGCTCAAAGGAAATATCTTCATTGCGGAGATGTTGGGAAAAGGGAAGGTGTGGATACCTAGTCTGCGTTAGGCAGAGAAGGAAATTAAGTTCCATTAGCCACCTCCCAGAACTTACACGTCTCACTGAAGTAGGCTTACTTCGAAAGCGCAGCCGGAAGCAACTCGCTTGGGGAAAGTTCCTCTCGACCGTAGCGGGCTCTGCCTCCTATGAAAGCAGAAAGCGACCTCTCTCAAGATCCCGTGGCAACTTTGGCTCACGCAGTCGAATTCCACGCTCGTTCCTTTTCTCCCCAAAGCGAAGTAACTGCAGAGGCGTTGCCGAGCCGAGAATAGGGCTTCATAGGACGCAATTCCTAATAAACGCACTATGTGCAGAGAAATGCATACTATAACCAGCGAATAACGTTTTCCGAGGAACCGATGAAACCCCGATCGGCTGTTTAGCCGGTTGCCGAAAGAAAAGAGCAAGATATACGGCTGCCCAAAAGTTCCTTCCCTTTGTGCAGCAAGGCGGCAGGGTCAGTGTCGGTAGTAGTAATGAAGGAGGAAAGTCCAGCGGTGGAAAAGCAGCCACGGTCCAGCTTTGAATGCAGGCTGCTAAGAAGCGCTCTAGTCCGGTGCGGGCGCGTTCTCTGATGGCACTTGCAGTTTGCGCGCACTGCCATCCCGCTGCTCGGCAACTTTTCTTTCCCAACTGAAGCCAAGGAGGCGTCCGAGGCCGCTCTCCTCTATCTGGGCAGAGCGAGTACCCGAGAGAGGTGCGCTCTTTCCCTTTTCTCTCTGACTGCCCATTTCCCAGTGCCATCCAACTTCCCTCGCGGAAAAGGGTCTTTTCTTCAATTTCTCAAAGCTCTTTAAGCCAGATTCTGCCCGGCGTTTGCTTTCCTTGGAAACCGAGGTCTGTTGTTGTGGGTCGGCCTTCTCTCCTGTAGCGTTTGCTCTCTGGAGACAAGCAAGTCTCCTGAGACTGCAGCCTAAAAACCCGGCCTTAGTTTTATCTGTAGCATTTCGCTGAATGACCTCCAACTCCTGGAAGTCGTCATTTCCATTTAAATAGGAGCGTCCAAAAATTGGCCAGATTCTCCCCCTCTCTATCTTTCAGGCGGGGCAAAGGATCCTTCCACTTTCCGGAGCGGCTGGACCAATTGCTTCGAAGGCATGCCAACGCTTCCCCGGCAGCTGTGTTGTGCACCCACAGCAAAGCGAAGGGAAAAGCCTCCCTATTCTTCTCCAGAATTTGATGCGTGGCTGGGTCTGTGATAGCTTTAGTTCTCACCAGCACCTATTGCAGCGCAATTCGATATGTGAACCTCAGCTTTGAAGAGAAGCCATCCTTGTTATTCTATCAAGCCCGCCTCCCTTAAGTGCTGTTCAACAGTTGATATCTTAGATGGGGAGGAACTACGCGCGCCCCTCCTATTTTGTCTCCATACTACCCTTTCTTTTTCTGTAGCGCGCGCACCATCACACCAATGGCGGTTGCTAAGGGAACTTTACGTTTGCATCTGATCCTCTCGTGAGGGTCTCTTAGATTCGGATCCTAAGCCCACACTTCTTGGGGAAGGTGGATACTCCACTGGCTCTGCAAGACAGGCTCCTCAGCAGCGGGGCGTTAGATTACCTTATAATTAGTTTTCCTTGCTACGGATCTTTTTAAGATTTCACTCCCAAGCACACAATAGTTAAGGGAAGTCCACCAAGCACCACAAGCCTTTGTCGTTAAGATGGCTTTAGAAATTAGTTTCTAAGCAGTTCTAAGCAGTATTACTCAGAAATAAATTATCTGCACAGAATCAGATAAAACATTTTACCCAAGAAAGCTCAGGAAATTGTTTGTTTGTTTTTTGTAATCCCAGTCAGGTGTATTTAGAATTGCAGGTTAAATATGCCTAGAATCAGCCTGGGATTTGTACATTCAGGAGATGCTAGTTTATGTTACAGGTAATAATCCATGAAATGTTGAGAAAGAATCTCTCTCTGTGTGTATGGAGGGGTAAATAGAATTATTTGAAATACCATGTCTTCAGTGGAGATATTCAAATAAATACAATATCCTCAAGGAAGAACTGATCTAGCTTTAAATTTCACATATGATCTCTCTCCCAGCTTCAGTTTCTATTGATAAAAGGGGACCAGTATCTGTATTTCCAGAGGTGTTACAGGTGATGGAAATGCAGATTCTCCACACTTCTGCACTAACGAATGTCTGAGCAAATGCTAAGTATCCTTAAATTTAGAGTTCTTTTTTTTCCTAAGCTGGATGCAGGATGCATTTTAGCTTGGAGAACAGTATCACCTCTATAAGAAATTTTTAGAGATTCTAATTAAAAATATCTTCATACTGACAGCAGGTTATTATGCAGGCACTGTGAAGTATACATTTTTTTCATCTTCAGCATTATTTAAAACATACACATTCAAGTTTGCTACAGATTTAAGTTTGTTTTGTGGTTGTCATTTGCATAACGAAATCCCCCCCCTCCAAATCTATTGACCTGAATTGGGTTTTCAGACTGCTTTACAAATTGGTTCTTCATTGTTGAAAATGAAGATACTGGGTGCTATTTTAGCAGGCCCAGAGTGTTAAGCTGATCTCCCATGCCAAATCTAGTATATTACTTCAAAAAGAGAGAGGTGGAAGAGTCCTGCCTCACTTTTGCCTTTCAGATAAAAGCATTTTCTCTTCAAGTTAATCAACACTTTGAAGCAGCATCAGTGATGAACTGACTGGGATGTGGACAACTACCTAAGTTACACATAAAGAAAAGAAACTACCTTATTTTTCTGCTACATGGCCTATTTGAAGATGGCAATCGGAAATCTACTCAGGACTGAAATTTGGATACACATCTTTGCCAGAAAGGCCACCACAATTTAAAAACCAGAATACACTGGTACGTGTAGTATGCACAAAAAGGTTTTCTATTATACTATTGCCAATTGTTCTGTTTCTCTTGTGTATTTTTGATTTTAGCAATTTGATTATTTTGAGATAGAATGATAAAATGGCAAACTATAAAAGA